AATTTGATATTAAAGTGCTTCGTTTTTCCATGAAAAACGGGATTGTTTGAGATAGCTATTGCTGCTTGATTATCCACAAACACATCTGTGCCTTCATTTTGCTTCAGGTTTAGATCAAATAACACCTTTCTAAGCCATAAAGCTTGATTTGCAGCAGCTGTAGCTGCAATAAACTCTGCCTCCGTAGTTGATTGTGCAACAACTTCTTGTTTTTTACAACACCAAGAGAACATTCCTGACCCCCAGATTAAAACAATAACCTGAAGTACTCTTCATATCATCATAACCACCATGATCACTATCAGAATAGCCCTGCAGAACATGAATCTGACTAGCACAGAACTTGATTCCGTGCTTCAATGTTCCTTTCANTTGTATCAGGTTGAAAAACTCTATAAGCCTTTGAAACTAAGTTGTATCCCACAAAGATTCCAGCTTCAGCTTTTCTGTCGAGCTTGTCTCTTTTAATCTGAGGCACATAAGTGAAACACAAGCAGCCAAACACTTTTAAATTCTTTAAAGAAGGTTTGTAACCATACCAAGCCTCAAAAGGTGTCCTCCCATCAACTGCCTTTGTAGGAAGTCTGTTTAGCAGAAACACAGAAGTGTTAGCAGCCTCTGCCCAGTACTCTTTCGGCAACTCCTTCTCATGAAGCAAGCACTTNCATAGGAGTTGTAGCAATCTTGCACTCATCCATTCTGAATTTCTTCAGAATTTCTTTAGCATATTTGGTTTGGCAATTGAACACCTCTTTCTCCTTTTGTTGAACCTCCATTCCAAGAAAATATGCCATTTCCCCCAAGTCAGTCATCTCAAAGGTCTGTTGCATATCTTTCTTGAATTTATTCACAAGTTCCAAGTTGTTTCCTGTAACAAGTAAGTCATCCACATACAGAGAAACAACAACAAAATTGATCTCATCACCTTTGATGTAGAGGGTAGCCTCATTGAGACTTTTTTTGAATCCCAGCTGCATCAAATGCTCATCAATTTTGCTATACTAGGCCCTTGGTGCCAGCTTCAGGCCGTATAGAGCTTTTTTGAGCAAATACACATCTTCTTCTTGCTCTTTCACAACAAATCCCTCAGGTTGTTCTACGTAGATCTCCTCATCAAGAAGACCATTTAGAAATGCTGACTTGACATCTAACTGGTACACTTTCCAACCCTTTTGAGCAGCAATGGCCAGCAACAACCTGATTGTTTCAATTCTGGCAACAGGAGCAAATGTGTCAGAAAAATCAACACCAGGGATTTGAGCATAACCTTTCACAACAAGCCTTGCTTTATGCTTGTTTATAGAGCCATCTCCATTCAGCTTTGTTCTAAATACCCACTTCACTCCAATCACCTTTCTGTCATCAGGTCTTTTTACCAGCTGCCACGTTTTATTTTTCTCAATCATGCTCAACTCCTCCTTCATTGCAGCTACCCATTTTGGATCTCTTTCTGCCTCCTGAAAATTTTCTGGTTCCAGGACTGCAATGTTGCACTTCTAATAGATTTCAGAAAGTGATCTTTTNATCTAACTGGTACACTTTCCAACCCTTTTGAGCAGCAATGGCCAGCAGCAACCTGATTGTTTCAATTATGGCAACAGGAGCAAATGTGTCAGAAAAATCAACACCAGGGATTTGAGCATAACCTTTCACAACAAGCCTTGCTTTATGCTTGTTTATAGAGCCATCTCCATTCAGCTTTGTTCTAAATACCCACTTCACTCCAATCACCTTTCTGTCATCAGGTCTTTTTACCAGCTGCCACGTTTTATTTTTCTCAATCATGCTCAACTCCTCCTTCATTGCAGCTACCCATTTTGGATCTCTTTCTGCCTCCTGAAAATTTTCTGGTTCCAGGACTGCAATGTTGCACTTCTGATAGATTTCAGAAAGTGATCTTGTACCTCTGATAGGTTCATCATCAACCAAATCAGATTCGGACAGCTCTAGCAACTTTGAATCTTGACTTGGAATTTTACCAGCCTGATCTCCTCTCCAATTCCATTTAGCATCTTCCATAAAATGCACATCTCTGCTTATCAGAATTTTTTTTGTATCAGGTTGAAAAACTCTATAAGCCTTTGAAACTAAGTTGTATCCCACAAAGATTCCAGCTTCAGCTTTTCTGTCGAGCTTGTCTCTTTTAATCTGAGGCACATAAGTGAAACACAAGCAGCCAAACACTTTTAAATTCTTTAAAGAAGGTTTGTAACCATACCAAGCCTCAAAAGGTGTCCTCCCATCAACTGCCTTTGTAGGAAGTCTGTTTAGCAGAAACACAAAAGTGTTAGCAGCCTCTGCCCAGTACTCTTTCAGCAACTCCTTCTCATGAAGCAAGCACCTGGCCATCTCCATCACTGTATGATTTTTACGTTCACTGACTCCATTTTGCTGAGGAGTATATGGAGCAGTGAGTTGATGTTCAATTCCAGCCTCTTCACAGAACTCACTGAAAGTTGCAGATGTGTACTCCTTCCCATTATCAGACCTCAACGTCTGAATTTTGCAGCCACTTTGTGTTTCAATCCAGTTCTTTGAATTTCCAGAACACACCAGCCACTTTTGATTTGAACCTGAGAAAATATATCCAGCACATTCTGCTAGAATCATCAATGAAAAGCAGATAATACTTACTCCCATTAAGTGAAGGAGTTCTATGTGGACCAGCCACATCAGTATGAATCAACTGAAGTTTTTCTGATGCTCTCCAGGTAGCTTTCTTGAAAGGAAGCCTTGATTGCTTTCCATATTGGCAAGCCTTGCATTCTGGCAGTTCAACTTCAAGATTAGGCAAACCTTGAACAAGTTCATTCTTTTGCATATTCACCACTGCTCTATGATGAAAATGACCCAGCCTTCTATGCCACACTTCTGCATTCACTGTTGTTGCTGAGTAGACTGATTGCTTTGCCTGTAGAGGATCTAGTGCAAAACTCTTCCCTTTCATTCTCACTTTGAACATATCTTCATCTTTTGAGTTTTTGATTAAGCAATGATTGCCCTCAAAAACCACTTTAAAACCATTTTCAAGAAGCTGGCCAACACTCAGCAAATTTTGGTTAATGTTAGGTACAAATAACACTTCTCGGATAAGCTTTGTACCTTTTGAAGTTTCCACTGCAATTTTGCCTTTCCCTTTCACTGCGATACATTCTCCATTACCAATTTTCACTTTGGAAATGAATGACGTATCCAGCTCCTTGAATAGATCCCTGTCAAATGTAATGTGGTTGGTGCAACCACTGTCAATGAGCCAGTTGTCACTTGAATGACTTACTGCAAGACAGGTAGCTACAAATAGTTGCTCCTCTTCATGAGCAGCTACTTGAACAACATTTTTCTGCTGAAGATCAACTTGAGCTACAACCTTCTGAATGTTGCTCTTGCATATTTTCTGATGATGTCCCATTTTCTAGCACTTCTCACATTTCACATCAGGTCTCCTCCAGCATTTTGATGGTGGATGACCCTTTTTGTTGCAGTGCTTACAAGGAGGAAAGTCAGACTTTGATGAATCTGAACCTTCGTTCTTGTTTCCTTTGAACTTCCCTTTCCATCCTTGGTTTGTTTGCACCTTTGCAGCCAATGCTCCTTCAACAGAACCTTCACTTCTCATGAGCCTTCTCTGTTCTTGAGCTTGCAAAGCATGTATCAATTCTGCCAAGCCAATCCTTGACAGATCCTTAGCATTTTCCAAAGAAGAGATGGTAGCTTCAAATCTTTCAGGGACAGTAACAAGAATTTTTTGAACTATTCTTGTATCAGAAAATTCAGAACCAAATAATCGTACCTTGTTTACGATATTGAGAAGTCTATCTGAATACTCTTTAATAGTTTCAGATTCCTTCATTTTCTGCATCTCAAATTCTCTAACCAGATTCAGCACTTGCATTCCTTTGATCTTCTCATTTCCCTTGTACTCCTTCTTGAGATAGTTCCATATATCAAAGGCTGTTTTCAAGGTCATGATTCTGGTGAAAATTGAAGATGAAACTGCAGCAAACAAGCAGCTTTTTGCCCTGGACTTCCTTGCCTTCCTTTCTTTGAAATTCTTCATTTGAGCCACTGTAGGATTGTCGGGTAGTGGAAGCACTTGGTAGTCTTCCTCAACAGCCTCCCAAAGATCATTTGCATCCAGATAAGCCTCCATTCTGATTGCCCAAACTTGATAATTTTCTCCATTGAACACAGGAGGTGCAATGGCATTGAAAGGAGTTTCTGCACTCGAAGTCTCCATTTTGGTGGATATACACTCAAATTCCTCACAAGTCCCTTAAGAAGAGAGCTCTGATACCAGTTTGTTGGAGCAAACTAAGAATTAACAGAGAAAGAGAAGAATATTTCAGTATAATCTATTTTTTTATTAACTGCAAATGTGCTTAAATAGAGCTAAAAAAAACAAAAATTCCTATATTCCAGCTCAACCATGGAACATGCCTCCATGTTTAACAATTTAGCTAGAAAAATGGAAATGATGACTGAAATGCAGTAGAACAAGTCAATAAATAAAAAACATAACAGAAAAAGAAAAATNGACCAGTTTGTTGGAGCACACTAAGAATTAACAGAGAAAGAGAAGAATATTTCAGTGTAATCTATTTTTTTATTAANGGAAAAATAGAAATGATAACTGAAATGCAATAGAACAAATCAATAAATAAAAAATATAACAGAAAAAAAAACAGAAGTATAAGAAATTTGCCAAACACTCCTAACTTCATATCTTGCTGATATGGTAATGGTTACTTCCTTTCATGTCCCAATCCACACTTTTTCTCTTCATCCAAAACAGAAGTATAAGAAAGATCTCCCACTTGGATTCTCTTGTTCTCTCATGACATGTAGTTCCAGTCTCTTTCCCTCTTTNTAAATCAATAAATAAAAAACATAACAGAAAAAGAAAAATTACAGCAACTAAATAGAAAATGCAGTAGGTAAGTCAACTTCTTAACAAAGATAACGAATTTGCCAAACACTCCTAACTTCATATCTTGCTGATATGGTAATGGTTACTTCCTTTCATGTCCCAATCCACACTTTTTCTCTTCATCCAAAACAGAAGTATAAGAAAGCTCCATTCAGTATATCTCCCACTTGGATTCTCTTGTTCTCTCATGACATGTAGTTCCAGTCTCTTTCCCTCTTTCGAATTTTTTTGTATGGCGACAATCCATTTCAATTCAATCCGAAAGCGATCCTCAAACCTCAATTATTCACTCCCCATTATAAACCCCATTTCCATTTCCACCATTTTCATTCATTACCACCACCACCACCATGGCCATCACAACCACCACAGACACCACCCCCAAATTCCACCAAACCCAAGAATTCTACCCAGAACTATCAGTGTCGCCACCATCTCACGACGGCCTTGAATTTTGGCAATTCATGATCGCCGGCTCAATTGCTGGCTCTGTCGAACACATGGCCATGTTCCCAATCGATACCCTCAAGACCCGTATGCAAGTAATTGGGTCATCGTGCCAAACCCCGGCGATTACTCTCCGGCAATCCCTTGGCTCAATTCTGAAGCTGGAGGGTCCTGCCGGGCTCTACCGCGGCATTGCCGCCATGGGTCTTGGTGCTGGACCAGCCCATGCTGTGTATTTCTCGGTATACGAATCTTGTAAGAAGGTTTTATGTGCCGGAAATCCGAACAATTCGGCTGCTCATGCCGTTTCTGGCGTGTTCGCTACGGTCGCGAGTGACGCAGTGTTTACACCAATGGATATGGTGAAGCAAAGATTGCAATTGAAGAGTAGTCCTTACAAGGGAGTTGGGGAATGTGTGAAAAGGGTAATCGTAGAAGAGGGAGTTGGAGCTTTTTATGCGTCGTATAGGACTACAGTGGTTATGAATGCGCCATTTACAGCTGTTCATTTTGCAACATATGAGGCTGCAAAGAGAGGGTTGATGGAGGTATCGCCTGAGAGTGCACGTAATGATGAGACTTTGGTGGTTCACGCCACGGCCGGTGCTGCTGCTGGGGCTTTTGCTGCGGCTGTTACTACTCCACTAGATGTTGTCAAGACTCAGTTGCAGTGCCAGGTGAGATTTCTTATGCTTCTTTCATGGTTTTTTGTTCATATGATCATATCTTTGTTTTGATGGATATATTGAGTTTTTTTTCTTCTTTGGACTGATTATAGATTTCCAAACTATCCCCTTCAAAAAGACCTTGCCAATTTGCCGAATAGATGTACTGACATGCAAGTCTAACCACTAATTTTATGCCACTTTTGGAAAGCCTAGAATTTGGCCACTTCAGTGACTTGCTTTTCCATTCTTCTCGATGACAGACTCATAAGTAAAGCCAGAATAAGCTGGGTGCATTCTGAGTGTGCTCTTAGGCTGCCACCGTGATCTAACCATTTTAGATGCTTCGGCTTGTTTATTCACACAACTAGTTTAGTACTTTCAGTAAGTAACAATCTTAGGTCTGGCCTTTGACTGGGGAACTACAAAAAAAAAAAGGTAGAACTTTCCTGCCGACACATAGGATCTTAGATGTCAAATTTCTGGCAGGATTTAAAGAAAGAAACTAGGTAAGATTTAGAGAAACAATCGGATCACTCAGTTATGCTCAAGCTACCTATTAGAGCCTTGCGGATGGTTTTCATTTATGATATAAGACTGGATTCAGAATATCATTCACTATGTAGACNAGATTTGAAGAAAGAAACTAGGTAAGATTTGGAGAAACAATCGGATCACTCAGTTATGCTCAAGCTACCAATTAGAGCCTTGGGGATGGTTTTCATTTATGATATAAGACTGGATTCAGAATATCATTCACTATGTAGACAGAACCATCGGGAGAATTTCGACTAGGAGTTGTGTGATTAGATGAGAGAAATTGTTTAGCTGTTGTGTAATCAACTTTTTTCTCTTTTTTGTTTTTTATGTTTTTCTGATAGGTGGGTGTTGCATGATCGACTTAAGCCTATTGAATCACAAGACAGGAAAATGATGTAAGGCTAGCCATCATTTGGGGTTTAAATGTTGCGGGATAAAGGAAGACCATTTACACAAAATGAGCGTTGAGGTGAAGTCCCGTTCCAATATATTGTATTCTCCCTGTCGAGGTGGATAGCCAGGTTCAAGCCTCAGCTTCCCCATCTCCCATAGAAATATCTAAGAAGATGTTAGAAAAAAGAAGACAGAAATAGTTACGAGTAGGCAACACTAGTTTGAGATAGGCTGGAATTTGCTCCAATTCCATCCTCAAACCAAACCAGATCAGTGATTGAGCCCCTCAAATTAATGTCTGCCCACACTAATATGGACAAATGGCTGATTTTAGGCTAGCCCAGCATTGTTGCATATCATCTGATGGGAAGATTATTGATTGAGTTACTTCCAGATTCTTCTTAGGTGGTGAGGAATGAACTGGTGTCCTATGGCCATAATAAGTGTATACATTTACTTGCTACCTCAAAATACTTTTACATTCAAGGAGCCAATCCTAAGTTGGTAGGAGTAGTGTTAAAATCGGTCGAGTTGGCTTGTGGGTGTGTGTATGTAGACTCTGTACTGCCTTTGGTTTATACCAAGTCATAAAGTAGGAACACCACATGATTACTACCTGTGCATCTTTGTTTTCAAATATTTAAAAGTTATTCAATTGGGCATGAAAACGTCTGCAGACATTTTAGAATTCATACACCGCTACTGAAAGGCATTTATGTTTTCAGAGCTGATAACTGGCAGGTGACCTATCTCTTTAATCTGGAGAAAATGTGAGGAATCCATGTAGAAGCCCGGGAATAGGTTGTCCTAGCCACTATGCCTAGTCCTTGCTGTGCCACACATCAATTATACTCTTCAATTAAACTGCCTCATTTACTACAATTGCCATGGCAAGTCAGATATGCAGTTGAGGGAGTCATTGGGTTTTTCTTTTTCTTTTTCTTTTTATTTGGTCCCCTTCGATTATATGGATATAGGTACAGTTACAAATTTCTCATATGCTCCTCAATTGCACAGGGTGTCTGTGGATGTGAACGGTATTCCAGTGGTTCAATTGGCAATGTTATTCAAACCATAGTGAAAAAGGATGGATATGGTGGGCTTATAAGGGGCTGGATCCCCCGGATGCTCTTCCATGCCCCTGCTGCTGCAATCTGCTGGTCTACCTATGAAGCAGCAAAAAGTTTTTTTCAAGATCGGTAGAAATAGACCAGTTGATTGAGGTTAAAGAAGTCTTTGTTGGTTGGATGCCAAGCTCAATCCAGTTGAACAATTGGAAGAAACTCATTCACCATTGTTGTAGTCATTGAATAACACTTGAGCATTTTCTCAGAACTGGCCATTTATTATTCCAATGGGTGCTGGTTTTGGTTCTGCAGGAATGGAATCAACATTTGTGCATCTTCAAAATTGTTATGACAATACTGGAAAAAACTGATGACTCCTCATTAGAGGTGGTTGATTTGGAAATGAAACCTTCAACTGTGGTAAACACTATACTTGATTTCAATTAGAATACGACTTTGATTGAGTTCTAAGCTGCTTTGTGATGAATTGTATACCGATGTGGTACTTATTAACTTTTCATTGATACCCAATATCGCTAAAATAATAGAACATAATTGGATGCAAGGATGTTTCGGGTACACACTTGGGTGATTGTTGCAGGATTCACAATCTATTAAAAAAACATACTCAATGCACGATACTCTGATCATTGTGAAACGTGGGGAGAGTTAAATATACAAAGTCTTATCTCTACAANCTTCGGGTACACACTTGGGTGATTGTTGCAGGATTCACAATCTATTAAAAAAACATACTCAATGCACGAGACTCTGATCATTGTGAAACGTGGGGAGAGTTAAATATACAAAGTCTTATCTCTACAAGTAAAAAGACTATTTCTACACTTCGAATCCGTGACCTCCAACTCACAATTACGTCAAAGCCTGCCCTCAGGCTTCACAATCTAATCAACCCTCCAAATACTCTCTGAAGAGAACGAAGTCAAAATAAAAAACAAGAAAACTTGTGACTGTCAACATTTGGAGTCAACTCAACTCTTTATTAGTTTATTGAACCNAACTCACAATTACGTCAAAGCCTGCCCTCAGGCTTCACAATCTAATCAACCCTCCAAATACTCTCTGAGGAGAACGAAGTCAAAATAAAAAACAAGAAAACTTGTGACTGTCAACATTTGGAGTCAACTCAACTCTTTATTAGTTTATTGAACCACACACCATAAGCGGCAGCTCTCCAACAAAGCCGTTTTCCATTACCATGGGATATATTTGATGATTAGAGATGATAAATAAAACAAAAACTATCACATTTGCCAATGGCAATAAACAGATATTGGAAACAACAATGCCTTGAGCAAGCTATTTGAAAACAGCCTGCCGAAGTTATAAAAATCAATTCTGAGATTAAAATGGTGAGAAGAAAATACTTGAATTTAACAACTGCCATGCCTCAAAATTTTCTATTATTATTTTTGGCCGGTGATGTTTACAGAATATGATTCAAATTTGTAAATATTGATATATAAAAGGTTTCATAAATTTAACAAGAGGCACCAGTGGTCTNGAATACTTGAATTTAACAACTGTCATGCCTCAAAATTTTCTATTATTATTTTTGGCCGGTGATGTTTACAGAATATGATTCAAAATTGTAAATATTGATATATAAAAGGTTTCATAAATTTAACAAGAGGCACCAGTGGTCTAGTGGTAGAATAGTACCCTGCCACGGTACAGACCCGGGTTCGATTCCCGGCTGGTGCAGTGTTTTTTCAACAATCCATTTTGGACATGGCCACTCTACCATCTGTGGTTCTGTCACTTTTTTTTTTTGTGGTTCTGTTACTGATCATCTGTTCAAGTCAGCAAAGCCAGCTGCATCTCTCTCTCTCTCACACAATTAAGTTCATACAAATCCAATTACCACAGGATGCTAACAATCCATTTTGGACATGGCCACTCTACCATCTGTGGTTCTGTCACTTTTTTTTTTTTTGTTTCTGTTACTGATCATCTGTTCAAGTCAGCAAAGCCAGCTGCATCTCTCTCTCTCTCACACAATTAAGTTCATACAAATCCAATTACCACAGGATGCTATTCTATTGCAGGTACTGTTTTGAAAAGGTCATTACAAGGGCTCAGTGAGGCTCTCTTAGCATATCGTATATCCAACTAAAAAAAACTAAATTTACCTTATCACAAACTTAACAACATCCGCAGAGAACATTTTTGTTCTGGGCAGTCACAGGAAACAAAACTTCGTTTATACAAAACATAATTACAGCAACCAAAACATGAAGAAGCATGCTAAAGGATCAAGGAGGAACCTTCAAAACGAAGTAACAGATTGCGAAACTATCATAACTGAAGCAACTTGACCATCTTAAAACTTATCTACACTTACTCCACCTCTAAGGACCTCATAAGCCTCTCTACTCCTCGTTTTCTTCATGCCAGCTGTGAAATGAAGCTTTGATCCTTCAGATGAGATGGCCGTCACTTTTACCCAAATCATCACCTTTGTTTTTATTCCGTCAATATCAGCTAGCTTTCCTTTCTCCAGGAATCCAGTTACTGTGGTGGAAAATCGCAGGACAGATGAGTCCCTGTAACCCACCTCACAAACCGAAGGAATGAAGACGATAAGCTTTCCAGTTTCTTCATTGAACTCATAATTGGTGGCATCACGAGGGAAGATGCCAACAGCCAAGTCATACTCCTTTAGCAATTCTGGTAATGGCTTTTGCATTTTCCCTGGAAAGAAAACAATCAAGTAACTTTTAACAAACTTACAAGATGAAATATGCAGACTATTCATGAAGACCAAATTCCAGGAAATGGAATACTCTACTTAACTTAACCCAATAGTCTTATCCCACCTAATACATAGAAATTCAAGAGGACAATTGAGCAGCAAGCAAGCTCCCCTCCCCCAACACACACACACATACATGTACACAAAAAAACCCAACCCTCCCACCAACAAAAAGAAAACCAAACCAAAAGAAAAAATTAGCAATGAGAGCTCTCCCATGTTATCAGATTTCTGTACAGACATGTCACCCAAGAAACAGTATTGACATATCCCACTACTCATTCCTCACATGCGAGCACCCAACTCGAGCAAGTTATATCGATTACGATTGAATGTTTCTTTTCTCTAAAGTTTTCTATTACAAATCTCCAAACATAGGCTAAAGGTCCTGGTTCTCATATGGTGTTACCATCAATCAAAATCAATAGGGTAGATAAGTTATTAAATAAATAAACTCCTGTAACTAGAAAGTTCTCTAATCTTACTTCCCGAAGGCCATGGGCGCCTGGCTGCTTTACTTATTTTCAAGTCCCAGTAAGATTTTAACTTAATAGAAAGTGTAAACAGGGAAGTTTGACATCAAAAGATAAGCACCGCAGCAGGATGATAATGCCAAACAAGTGCGTGCTAATAGAATCTGAAACCAAATCTTTTCTTCATTTCTTTTATAACTCTCTGTCTCCCCGTCCCTCTCTCTCTCCTCTTTGTCTTGCATTGGCCGAGTGGGAGGGGGATGGGGGAGCCACTAACTGGAAAAACTTCGAACCGAGGGTGATTAATGCAATGAAAATCCAATGAGAAATAATTTAACATTTTGTTAAGGAAAATACTATTTGGACCTAAAAATCTGACATAATTTGCTGACCTAATGACGTGACTTCATTGAAACCATTGAATAAACACCAAGTTTCAATGTTTGATGGAGACCACAGTTAATCCAAAGGTCATTTTGNCTATTTGGACCTAAAAATCTGACATAATTTGCTGATCTAATGACGTGACTTCATTGAAACCATTGGATAAACACCAAGTTTCAATGTTTGATGGAGACCACAGTTAATCCAAAGGTCATTTTGAATTAGGTCAGCAAATTAGGTCCCAATAGCATTGCTCGTTTGTTAAATGCCTAGCTGCAAGCTTTTAATGAACACGTTTGAATCAATAGCAATGCAGACTTACAACTACATATTACATCAGGACATGCAAGTTTCACATGCAACGTCATCAACATGAAAAGATAGAATGAAAACAATGCAGAAGCAGAACAAACCTTTAATTTTGTTGACCAACCATTTGGCTCCTCCTTCAATACTGCTAGACATGGACTATTTGGGAAAAAAAAACTCAGCATGAAAGAAAGAAATGTAGAATAACCAATGCAACAAAAAATATGGATTACAACGAGCCAAAGGTCAATGAATCGCTTCAGTATCATAAATTTCAAAAGCATTTGACAGTAGAGAATATGAGAAATACATTACTTCAGGAGCCCATCGCATTTTCCAGGAGACAAAGCAATTTGATTTTTCATGCCAAATGCCTTGAAATGTGCCATCTAATGAATCCCTTCAAATTTTCATGCTACAACTATATCATTCTAAAGATTCTGATAAATTGACAACATTCGAACATGTACCTACAACTTATGAAGAGATAGAATACAGTTGGCATGTCCTGGTGTAAATTTACTTGAGGAGAGATTTCATTACTCTTACATTTACTTCTGAAGAGTTAGAATACAGTTGGAAACATGCTACATTCATTTAGATCCCAAGTCCTTAGAATTAATTTTGTGGACTTCTAGTTCCTCTCTCACTCACAGACATGAAATAGATAACTCTTGCCTGTCAAACTGAATCTTATGGTGGCTTGATATCCAATTGGATCAATTAAATTGTCCCCATGCAATCCTTTAGGTTTGGTTCAATGGGAGGCTCATTTGTTTAGTGTAGCCAAAATTGTGAAGAGATTGCACTTAATATAGAAACCCTCTTCGCATTGGTTTTCCAGACAGACTTTTTTAGAAACCAAGATGAGCAACAAAGGACAAAGTATAGCGATGCAAAACAAACTGAAACAAAAAAGAGAAGCACTGGAAAAGTAAAAAAAAAAAAGCAATTCATGAGAGAGAGAGTCTCAAGCTAAACCAGGTTGGAAAGAGAGTTTTTTTCTTTTCCATTACTTTCTGCATGGACTGTACCGTTTATTTTTCTTTCCTGTTCTTATTAGCTCTCACAGCATAGTTAAGAGACAGTTATATGTGTAACTCTGCTTAGTGATTTATAGCATTACTGAAACAAAACAGCAGCCACTATGATTAAGCATTTACAAACAAGATAATGTTAGAGTGACCATTTTTAAGCAGCCGCAAGAAACAACACAACCATTGCTCTACTTTGTTAGGGGCGCAACTTGGGTGGGGGCAACTAGATTTCAACCCGAGCCCAACTGGAAAAAATTAGGGCTTGGACTAGAGGTTTTTAATACTTGGGTTGGGCTTGGGTCAAAAAACCTCAACCCGAATTCAATTTGGGTGGGCCTCGCATTGAGCCATCGGTTCACAGGATGAACCCGAATTAATATTATATAAATACAATTCTATAATTTATACTAGGGTTTAATCTCAACTCAGTTTGCGCCTCCCTTAACCCTCACTCACTCTCACAATCTCACCGTCAGATTAGACCCATCTCTCGCTCTCGGTCTCTCGCGGTCTCTTAGTCTCTCACTCTCACCCTCAGATCAGACCTATCTCTCACTCTCGGTCTCTCTCGGTCTCTCACTCTGACTCTCAAATCAGCCCTCTCAGCCTTCTTCATCTTCATCAAGTATGCGATTTCATTTTTATCTTCACATTTTAAGAGTTAATTTTCAGACCTCTTTTCACTCTCAAATGCAATTTTTTCTGAGTCTATTTTCACTCTCAAATGCAATTTTCTACGCCTCTTTTCCAACCTGCTATGACATTAAAATTTTTGCCCTCTTTTGTCAAAATCGAAAGTTTCATGATAACATGGATATGCTGTTTATATGTCATAATAACATGGATATGCTGTCAAAACAGAAAGTTTCATATGGCATTTTTGTTTATGTTGTTTATGCATATGGCATTTGTGTTTATGTATATGGTTGAATTTTGAATTGGAAATATTCCTGTTTAAGAGATTGATTGTCATTGGTAAATAATAAGTCACTATCTGGCTATAAGTCTTGCTTGCTTGCTGCAGTGAAAAATCTTTAGCTGCATAAATTGATCATTTTTTCTGTTCTTTGATTTTATGGCATAGTAAATCAATACATGTCACTAATGGGGGAGACAGAGACAAATGTTGAATTTGTGACTAATCTTGCATCTGAGCCTGTTTCTGCCAACCCCGATGCGGGGAACTCGATAAGTCCCAAACGCCGAAAAACTTATGTTGAAAAATCTGATGTTTGGCTTGATTTCACAAAAATTAAAAAAGAAGATCGGTCAAAACCTAATCAAGTACAATACAACCATTGCAAAAAGACTTTTCATTATGCTAGTTCACAAGGAACTAGTACAATTCGGCGACACTTATTCAAGTGTCCGAAATGTGAAAAGAATAAAGACTCTACTTAANCGGTCAAAACCTGATCAAGTACAATACAACCATTGCAAAAAGACTTTTCATTATGCTAGTTCACAAGGAACTAGTACAATTCGGCGACACTTATTCAAGTGTCCGAAATGTGAAAAGAATAAAGACTCTACTTAAACATTGATTAACTTTTCATCTGCAAATGGTCCTAGTAGTAATATTAGTAATTGAAAATTTGACCAAGAAGCTGGCCGAAAAAGAGGTTGCTCGAATGATAATTACTGATGAAATGCCTTTTAGTGTTGTGAGAAAGAAGGTTTTAAAAGGGTTCTGAATGTATTGCAACCAAGGTTTAATTTGGTGTCAAGAACTACGATCACCAAAGATTGCATCAATCTTTATGAAACTGAAAGGAAAAAATTAAGATTGATCTTTGAATCCTCTGCATCACATGTTTGTCTCACCATTGATTTGTGGACTTCCAATCAAAACCTTGGGTATATTTGTCTCACCGCGCATTACATTGACAAAGAATGGATTTTACAAAAGAGAATCATCAACTTCCGTGTGCTTCCAACCCCACATCGTGGTGAAATTATTGCACAATCTGTGGAGACTTGTTTATTGGGATGGGGGATTGATAAAGTGAATACATTGACTGTAGATAATGCAAGTTCTAATGATGTCGCAGCCACATCTTNAAGACTTGTTTATTGGGGTGGGGGATTGATAAAGTGAATACATTGACTGTAGCTAATGCAAGTTCTAATGATGACGCTGTCACATCTTTGAAAAAGAGGTTGACCAAATGCAATGGGTTGTTGTTAGATGGTACTATGCTTTATGTTAGGTGTTTTGGGCATGTTTTGAATTTAATTGTGAAAGATGGAATTGATGAAGTTAATAGTGCTATTGTTCGGATTCGTGATAGTATGAAATATGTTAGGAGTTTCCCTTCCCGTTATCAATTGGTTAGGAAATGTGTGGATATTGAGAAGATTCCATATAAAAAATCTTTGTATTTGGATGTGCCAACACGGTGGAACTGTACTTTTTATATGTTCGACACCGTTCTTGAGTACTAAAAAACTTTTGAGCGGTTGGAAAAGCAAGATAGAAGTTTCACACTTGAACTTAAGAATGAGACTTCTACTGATGATAATTGGTTGGCAGCAAAGAACTTACATAAATTTTTGCAACAATTTTATCTAGTTATAAAGCGTGTGTCGGGGTCACAATATGTCACTGCAAACATTTATTTTCATGAAATGATGAGGATCTATGAATTATTACATAGATCCTTGAGTAGTGACAATGTATTCTTTCGTGAGATGTCAAGAAAAATGATGTTGAAATTTAAGAAATATTGTGATCATGGCAAAATTAATCCATTGTTGCTTATTGCGGTAGTGTTGGATCCTTGTTATAAGTTGACGTTTTTGAGATATAAACTTTCCAAAGTTTATACTCGTGATGAGGTTGATGAGTTGATTGAAAAGGTGCAAGTTGTGTTGGATAAATTGTATGAATACTACTCACCATTTGAATTAGCTTCATTAAAAAATGATAATGTGTCAAAAAAGGCATTAATGTTGGAACAGATATTTCAGATGATCTAAATGTTGATGATGATGTAGTGGATTGTGGTAAGTTCTTAGAAATTGAGCAAACCAAAGTCCTTAAAGCGGAGTTAGAACGTTACTTGGACAATGGCGCTGAGTTTGGGAATGGATCAAGACAAACTTTCAATATTTTGAAATGGTGGAAAGAAAAAGCCTCTTCATATTGTGTGCTTTCTCGCATGGCACATGATATTTTTGCAATTCCAATATCAACCGTGGCTTTTGAGTCCGTTTTTAGCACAGCAGGTCATGTGCTTGATCCATTTCATAGCACCGCTCTTGTACTTCTCTATTTTGTAGTGTTCGTGGATGATAGTGCAAATCCAGGTGTTGAAGAGTCATCTATTTTGCTTCATGGATGATAGTGGTTGTGCGGTGGTTGCAATGGGCAGTGGTTGTGTTGTGGTAGCAGCGGCAGCAGCGAACTGGTTTTGCACTGCCAGCATTGATTTGTTTTGCTTACGCTTATGGACTATGTTTTGCTTCTGTTTATTTATGTTAAACTAGTTCTGTGCAATGCAGCAGTGTTATGTTTTGCACTGACAGCAGTGTAATTTCTGTTAAACTGGCAGCAGTGTAATTTCTTTTAAACTGGTAGCAATGTTATATTTTGCACTGGCAATAGTGTTTGTGTTCTGTTTATTTATGTTAAACTGGCAGCAATGTTATTTCTTTTAAACTGGTAGTAGTGTTATGTTTTGCACTGACAACAATGTTTGTGTTCTGTTTATTTTTGTTAAACTGGTTCTGTATTTATTTGTGTTCTGTATGGTTATGGTTGCATTGAGTTCTTAATATTATAGTTTTTATGTTAAAAACTTGATTGAACTTGTTGGTTATTAAATTATTTGAATATTATGTAATATATATGTATCAGGTTTAGAATATTAGCCCAAAATCAGCCCGTAAGATAACATGAAATCAGTCCTAAATTATTAACCCGAATTCAACCCGAACCCGCCTAAATTAAACTCGAGCAGTACTTGGGTTGAGGGTTGAAAATTATATACCTAGAGTTAGGCTAAGGTTGACTGTCCAACCCGCCCGAGTTGCATCCCCAACTTTTGTTAATTAAGACCAAATGTAATTGCTAGTGTGTCTAGCAGATGGGTAAGCATTTGGTCAAATTGCAACTCTGATTCCCTTTGCTGCTCCAGATTTAATAATATTGATAGCCAAAGACAATAACACTCTCGCTCAGCAAAATTCTCCGTCATGTTAGTTGATTCTATGCAAAATTATCCATTTAGCAGCACCCTTGGCTGGCATAGCCTTAAAGTTAAGGGTGAGGTTCAAACAAGGAAAGGCTTGAGGTGAAATTCATAATTTTATTGGTAAATTACCAATTTTGCTTCTTGATCTCACACCAGCGGATCGAATTGATAACAATGAAGTTGTGCGTGCTAGATCTTGCACAATATAAAAACGAGAACAGATCTCTCCCTTGGTGAACTCGAGTGAGTCAGTTGAGTGATCAACCACGCTACTTGGAACAGCCTGTAAGGTTCGGTGGTAACCTGGAACGGTAATGGGAGACCCTCACGGATCAAAGGAACGATCCAGTAAGGCTGAAGAAAGGTTCCTGGAACAAAGAAGAACAAGTTAGAAGGGCGCCAGAGTGTTTTCCAGCGTATCCCCTCCAACGATCAAGTTAGTTTTTGAGAGAGAGGAAAAAGAAAACACTGAGTATAATTTGTAGCAAAAATTTCACCTCCTTTTCCTTGCCTTTAGTGAAGAGTATTTATACCTCAAATACTCATGATTGCGGTCAGTGTGGTCAGTAGGTGATCATTAGGTACAGGCAAAGTGCACACTGATTCCTATGAGGAATGTCTTCTCTTTTAACTGCTCGGGGCCCCGAGCAATCAAGACTGTGTCATCGGCCTGCCGACAGTTCAATGAGCTCCTCTTGGGGAGGATACAATAAATGTCCAGCCTTAGAGACATTTATTGCCTTTCACTTCCGAGCCTTACCGCATTGAATACAGTCTCATCAAGGAATGGTGTAATTAAATGCTTGTTTTCCCAAGTCGCGTGTCAGCAAGGCCATGCGGTCTTTCTGTCTCTGATGTAACACAATATGCCACGCGTCCATTCCCCATTGGCTGTGGCCCCTGCCTTCCTGTGCCTTCTGACACCAATTGTGTAAGACGAGGTCATGATAGCTAACCTAACCTAGCCTAGGCTAGTGACCAGTGCATCAATAGCCTCTGCTGGAGCAGAGAACTTCATCCTGGACGAGGGGGGTACATCTCGGTACCGAGGAAGAGGTACATCTCGGAGCCGAGGAAGAGGTACATCTCGGAGCCGAGGAATAGGTACATCTTGAAGCCGAGAGGGGGAGGCCTAGCGACCGATGTACCATATCAGACCGAGGGTACGTGTCGGTACATAAAAACGTACTGGATGCCACTCGATCCCCATGATCAGTACCTCGGGGGAGAGGGGACTTGTGACCCGATGGGTACGTGATCTCGGTAACAAGGATTAATGACACCGAGGACACGTGTCTTCATCTCGGAGTATTTCGAAAATGTCCCATCAACTGTCCCCCAGCCTTCGATCTCCTGACACCGAGGACACGCGTCGTAAGGAGACGAAGGATTTTACAACAACCCCAACTGCTTCATCATTGCTTCTAGCCGCTTTCCCCTGCTTAGGACGTCGTGCGCATTAAATGCGCCTTTTCGTGCTTCGCGCCCAATGATGGGATAGGTGCTATATATAAATGGGCTTCCTCTCTTCATTTCTCATTTCATCGTTCTGAACTTTTCTTCACAGAGCCCTTGCCGGAGATCCCTTTCCTTCCGTTGTCAACTGTCCAACCATTTCACCGGAGTTTTAAGGCCAGCAGACCCATCCTTGCTTCTGAAACATTCTGGAAGGAGTCATTTCAAATTTCTCAGAAAAAACTTTTTTTTACATTCTGGTGAGTCCCAGTATCTTTCTTTTCTTCGTCCTTCTGTCCCTTT